CTTCTATCTTCTCATTATTAAATATTAATTTAATTTTTCATCATTTAAAATATCTAAAATTCCATCGTAAACTTCTAATTGATATAGTAAAGACCGAAGGGTTTTAAAGTTAAATTTAAAAAATATTGTCCAAGATTAGTAAAAGATGCAAAGAAATTATATATTTTCTGAATGATATTGAAAAAAAACATTATAAATTTCAATCCCGAATCTCGTTTTGGCGCCCCCTAAGGCGTGCGCCCGCATTTTTTGCATGCATCGCATTGCAAACAATCATATCAAATTATAGAGAAAACAACAATTAGTGGTAAAGAAGAAAATCGGAAAATAAGGAAGTGTTTAGTTTACTTTTCTAGATCAATTCTGAAAATTAATCATTCTTAGCTAAAAAAAAATTTGGGTTCAAATTATATATTTTTCAAAAAGCGTAATATATACAACTTTTTTCAATTTTTTTATATATTTTAATTGCAATATATTACACTTAGGACATTCAGTAATTATTTTGACTTTTATTATATGGATGTATATATAAAACTCATGATGATTTGTTTGTAAAAAATTTTAATTGGTTTATCATAATGTTCAAAACAACACAAAAAAATATTATTTATTGTCTACCTAGTAACTATCTATGACTTTTAGTATTTGCAATTTGTCTAAAAATTTTATTTGGTTTAATAATACTAGGAAATTAACATTTTTATAAATTCCGTATTATTCATATTAACAATTATTTTGTAATATATATAACGGATAATGTTTTTTTATAGATTTTTTTTGAATATTTAATTGTTTTAAATAGCACAAAAAACCCAAAACTTCCAATTTTGCATTTGCCATTTATCCACAAAATAATTTCAATAATTTGGTTAAATTTAAAAGAAGAATCCAAATTCTAAAATACCTGATTTCTCATAGTTTTGAAAAAATTTTTAAGATAAAAAAAATACGGGAAGTTCCAGCAATTTGCCTTAAGGCACGATGCCATGCCACCATTAGTTCATAATATAATATACAATTTTGTTTTACTACAATTATCTTTTTAGTCCGGAGGCCCTCGCACTAGGGTCTGTCTCAGTCCACTTAGCATTCAAGTAAGATCTTCAGGAATGCATGCGAACTCGTATGCATTTCGCCTACGTAGAATGCAAGTGTTGTTTCTAGATGCTAATTCAGCACATTACCATTCAGTATGTGCAGGTATTACTAATTCTTGTTATTTGCACAACTTGGCGCTTTCGAACATAAAGGACACTTATTGAAAAAAGCCGCTACTCATTATGAAACCCGGAGCTATTAAAATCGAGCGAGGAAATATCAGGAAATGGTGAAAGATACATTGCAATTGTACAATGTTAGATTTCAATACAATTCCTTCAATTGAACCTTGATATGTAGACTTCTATGGTATTTATAATGTATTCAATTTCAAGTGGAATAGTCATTCCTAACAATTCTGTAGCAAGTTAAAGTATAATTTATAATATTTATAAAAAAATTTGCAATTAGTAGGTTTATTTTTAATTCAAATATATATATATATATATATATATATATATATATATATATAACACCAACGACAACCAATTATTATCTAAAGAAATTAAGAAGTATCATAAAAACTGACTATATAGTCCTAGTAGCTCCGATTTTTGTTTAAAAAACTATGTTTAGTGGCGTAGCTTTTATGCAAATTGTATCATGTAACTTGATATCTTAATCAGTTAATATATGAATTGAATTGATTATAAGTAGATTTATAGCAGCAGTACTTTATAGTTTGCTATAGGACCTTTTACTTTTTGTAATTTTTAATTAATTAGTTAATTTTTGTAATTTTTTTTAATTTTATACAAATTTGCTAAAACTGCTATTTTAGTTTTAATGTCACGCCAGATACATACACAAGGTATGCTCTTGTTTTTTTATTTATTTTGATAAATAATTATAACTTAATCAATTAAACAATGTTAAAATCACGACTTTTTTATGGCAAATTTGCATAGTCTAGTTTTCTAACAATTTATTACAATGAAACCGCCTTTATGATCATTATCAAAAACTAAACAGCACGATTTCCATCCGATAACTTAAAAAAAAGATGTGAAATTGCAGCGATCATTTTTGAAAGAACGTCAAAGAAAGATCAAATTTTGGTTTACTTGTTCTCAACCTAGTACGCACATACACAAATATACATCTTCCATTAATCTTATTAGTAGAGTCAAACGATTTAGAATGACTTGAAACGCTAGTAAACAGAATTTGCTTAAGCAATATTTTTAAATTTCGATCCTATGAAAATAAAAAAGGACTATATCTAGTAGGGCAAGCACTGACATAATTACTTCGATATATATATATATATATATATATATATATATATATATATATATATATATATACCTGTTTAATGATACTATAATCATTCTACAACGTTTTTACTCATCTTAGATTCGTTGACTACCATTAACACAATGTTTTAATTAAGTAAGAATTATAGTTTATATTACAAAATAAATCCAAAAACCATTTGATCCATATACTACAAACAGAATATAGCAGTTCACAATAAAAATCATATGGTGCTCCTTCGGGCATTAGCACAAATGACGCTAAAGCCTAAAGGAAAGAAGTCATAACTTAGTCGTCGAAAGAATTACCTTTAAAATTAATAAATAATCAAAACTCCATTAAACAACTGATAAATTCATAGAAAACTGATCGATATTACTAGTACTGGCATAAGTTCAATAATTATAAAAAACTAATTACAAATAACAATCAATGAGTTCCCAAAGAAATATGAAAAAACAACAATATGCACTTAAAGGCGCGATACACATTTAACTGATTCCTGCAACAAAACTGTGACAATGACGCTCTACATCTGTCATGATTATGATTAGAACTTATTTCAAGTTATACGATCGTGGAAACGTTACTAATATTACTTAATTTTTAAATTGGTTCACTGGGTCATTTTTCCAAATGTATCATTTTGTCAGTGTTTCTCATAGTGGGTTTCAATATTATCCATAGCTTTTCACTTACATAAAAATATTGACCCTTATTTACTCTTTATTATTGTTGTGATTGATGCATATAAAGATATATGTAAAAAACATTTCTAGATACTTAAAATGTTTATAACATGTTCAGTAATAAATATCTATTCTACACTATAATGATGTATTAACACTCTTGGAATATTATATTTCTTATAGTAAATTTACACTACGGATTTTTTGGCAAAATCATAAACTTCGTCTTCAGAAACTTTAAAAAACCCGACCTCTCTATCGTTTAAAATAAAACCTCATATTAAAATACACGGAATGTCAATGCAAATTCCTCAACTGTTTAGAATTTTACACGAACGCGAGAAAAAATGACACATTGTTCATAAAAAAACCTTCGCACCTCATCTTAATTCGGACCTTGTCACTGACTATAAAGACCATATATCACCAACGATTTGAAGTTGGCGGCACATTTGTCACCATTGTCACCGCCATTGTTTCTGTATCCGTTTCCGTTCAAGGTCGTAACGGAAATCGCCGCTTGCATTCGTTAATTGCACTTCCTTCGAGAAATAAGAAACAACGGTTTCTTATTTTATTATGAGTTACATGTATTTTATGGCGATTTTGTAATTTTAAACTATCTGATACATGTGGGTAACGTATGAGTACAGTACCATCGTTCATTGTTCTTTTGTTTGTTGCGAAATATTATCCGCCATCTGGTAACACGATTAGAATTTGAATTTAAATTTGAATTTGAATGGATCGCTGAATGAAATTTTAATTTGTTAGGTAATTAACGATGTGCACTATTGTTGTTCTTCGATTTAATTTATAAGATACGATATTATGATAAAAACAAACATAAAAGAGGCATAATTTAATGTCATTTAGGGGTCAAACATAAATGTTTCGTTACAGGTCTATAATTGTATGAGTTTGTAGTCACCAGTGTCAAAAATCTAGGTGTTTGCTATGCAATCATTTGTTTTACACATAAAACCTAACCTCCAAAATTCACAAATGTCAAATTACAACTTTATCATAAGAACAGCTTTTGACTTGATAATTCGTACGTAAAGTCTAAACAAAGTTATTCATTATTTATTTATTTATTCATTTATTTTATTACATATCCTAGCCCACAGAATAGTTTCAAGTGGATTTGAAATGACTTAGGCATATATGATTTTTGGATACTAGAGATCAAAATAAGATACTTTGCCGAAGAAACCATGTCTTTAAAAGGAATTCCAGGAGTTGAATTTTGAAAAATTCCATTCGGAACAATTTAGAGAGCCCTAATCGCATCCAAATGTATGACCGACCCTAACTAACTTTGGAAGGTCGATCCACCTATGTCTATGCTTTACCCCCTGGAACCTCCTTCGAGAGCTGCAGAATACAGACATAATGCAACATAATAAAATAAAATACTAAATATATTTAAGGGGGTTGTTCGTTTTTTTTACAAAAAATGCAAGGTTTTTGTTTTTGTTTTTCTCGAAGTGTATATATCATAGAAACATGCTGTTTTCTTAAACAAAAATTACAAATTCATAGAATATTACAAAATTATCTTTTTCTTGCCGTCATTTTTTAACCAGGGGGCGCCAAAGTCGGCTTTGCAAAATCGATCTCTTTTGCGGTGCCACAGATAAATCCGTTGCGCATCGCCCGAAACAAAAAAAAAAAGAAATTACGTTCAAGAAGAAGTTTGAATCCAGCCCCCCTACCAAAATGAAAGAAAAAAAGCAAGAAGGAAAAAAATGGCAGCTATTTAAAAAAAAAGTGTTAAAAAGGCCTTTTTTTGGAGCGAGAAGCTTCGCAAAAATTTTACTAGCAAATTATTCTGAAATTATACTAGCAAGTTATTCTGAGCATTAAAATGAATCTTATTCATTCACAAATTATTATCTATTATTTACATATTTTCTTAATTGATATTAATTTATTTTTCATTTATTTTAGTGGCTCGGGGTGTGTATATGGCTCCTAGGAGCTTTATTATCACTGTCGGCTGTATCAGGTGAGTCTCCAGCATTTAACATATAGCTATCGAAATATTCAAATAACCTCTTTATAGATCATCAAAATATTTACATAGAAATTACTTATAAATGAATTTATATTTTAGTATTATTAATTGGAATTTAATGAATGATATAATTTTTTATAATTTGACATTGATAATTATTAATCACAATGAATTAAAATAAGGTGAATGACTTAAGTTTGCAATTCATATGGTATTTTAAATTATAATGCGACATTTTTTGCTAAGTTTATAAATTTATATGCTAATACAAAAAATGCTTATTTTCTCAAACTAGTTTTTAAATAATTGTGAATATTCGAAAAAGAATTTCTTTTAGTAAACTCTCAATAGTACAATATTGATATGTTTAATATTAACTTATTTATGAATTAAATAAATATATTATATATTACTGAAAGTAATATATCATACAAACAAAGCATTTGTAAGTTAGCTACAGGAATTTGTATTTTTATCATATTTTTTCTTGTGCTATAACTGGAGATCAAAAGTTTAAATAAAGTTGTAATAGTTTATAAATGCTATATACTTATTATTAATACAAATGTGTATAATGGTACAATGATTTATATTGATTTATCAGAATTGCATTTGCTCTTAAATATTAGTAAGAAAAACCCAAGTTCAATTTTAAAATGCTTTGAATGCGGAATTGCGATTAAAGTCGACTATAATTTACTATAATTCCAAAACTGCTACATATATTTTAATATAGTATATTAAAATATTTAAAAACATGAAAATAATATTGTTATTTATCTAATACAGCAAGGTATAAATAGGGGAAGTACCAACAAAATGACATGGTGTTTTATTTTTTTAATAATATTATAAACAGTCTCAATCGTTTTTACTCAACTAAGATTCATTGACTATCTGTGATATAGTTATCTTATTAGGAACTAATAATATATATTAAAAATTGGTGAAACTTATTGTAGAAATACTTTTGCCCATATACTATGGACATAATGACATATAAGGTGAAGACATACAGAGATACTAATTTTTAATAAGGAATTTTGTAAATGAATCGTTTAGTACTTTTTGGATCATCATCAAATATAACATAAGCCCGAAGGAACAAATCATCATATTCGACGGGCTTAAAATCAGAAAAGAGTATTTTCCAACAAATGCTCTTCTTTTTTCCCATGAATACTTTGGTCTGGTTTAACAAATAGTTAGAGTAGAAATTAAAAATCAGTCACCTCTGGTAGACATCAATTTTCTGTTTCCTTGGTCTCGAATAAACCATCCTGTACTGCTTCTTGTATAGATAAATATGTCATTTTGTCCGAAAGTGTAAATAATAAGAAAAAAACTAAAACACCTGTAATATGACACTAGTAATAAAATTCATCTAATTTACTAGTGCTGGCATGAATTCATTGATTTTAATAGAAATAATAACAAACAACAATAAATAGGTTCCAGAAATTAATGAAAAAAACTTTTTTGAAGACGTGTTGCAGAAATGATACTAAAACTATCCAATTTTTAAATAAGGGCAGTATGTCATTTTGTCCACATATGACAATTTGTTATTTTTTCTACTATTAGGATCTTTGTAAATACTAATGATAATAATAATAAATGGTAGTCTGCCCGAAGGCAGGTTAATTGTAAGAGAGACACCACAAATAAATGATTCCCTCATCCTTCGTCGTCTATCATTCCCATTTCCACTATTTTTATTCCCCATTTTTTCCAAACTACGGCTTCACTAATGCAGGAGGCACTCTTTTTGCAGAACTGGTCCGATCCAGTTTCCTCTTCTTTTCAGGTTTGTGCTCAGTAGTGCCCTTTCCTCGCTCACTTTTATTAGGACTAGGGCTAGTCGCTAGTCGGCAAGCGTTTTGGTTCTTGAAATCATAGCATTTGATATCTTATCAGTCTGCAATGGTTCCCAGAAATATCGGTTTTTGTATAAACCCTAATTAGGACTTATTCATTTGTTTTCTCGTCTGTTCACTTTATCTTCTCGATTTGTCTTCAGCACATAAAAAATACTAATATTAGAGACAAAGTTATAACGAAACTTTTCCAAATATTTAGGCACTAACTGTTTTTACAAGGGAATAAAATTTTATCTTATGAATTCCATGTTTGTAAAATATTTAATATTTATTTTTTCTGTCCAGGTGTACAACACGAGCCCCGTGTGGTATGCTACTACACCAACTGGAGTGTGTATAGGCCCGGTACGGCCACCTTCAACCCACTTAACATAAATCCGTACCTGTGTACGCATTTGATCTACGCGTTCGGCGGATTTACTAAGGAGAACACGCTGAAGCCATTTGATAAATATCAGGATGTTGAAAAAGGTAACAATTGGCAAAAGTAAAAGAATTATACACTTAATCATTTTTAATTAATTGGTAAAATGTAATGCTATAATACTAGAATGAAGAATATTGTGAATTTGATTAACAATTATCTGAGATTTTCAATATTGCATTGGAATTTCTAGACTAATCGAAATTATTTTTGATGTACATAATTTGAAGTTTTTACCATTGTTAATTATTATTTTTATTACCCAGGTGGATATGCGAAATTCGTGGGTTTGAAGACATACAACAAGAATTTGAAGACGATGCTCGCCCTCGGCGGATGGAACGAGGGATCCACGAGGTTTTCGCCAATGGTGGCCAATGCGACGAGAAGAGGCATTTTTGTCAAAAACGCTGTGAAATTCTTAAGACAAAACAAATTTGATGGTCTCGATCTGGATTGGGAATATCCTAGTTTCAGAGATGGAGGCAAACCTAGAGATCGCGATAATTATGCTCAATTTGTTCAGGTATAGATACCTAGCCATATTCTAAATGTTATTACAGTCTTGTATGAGAAACCATAATCTGCTGATCAGCTTTCAGATCATAGATTTATGTTTTATTACTATTATTAATCACCTGAAGTTCTTTATTCTAATTGTTAATTATTTCTGATTGTGTGTTGAAAATAAGTCTACTTATACCTTATCAGGATAGTATTTGATCCATCTATACTGCTTTGTATTTTAACATTTTGATTTTATTTATTATTTTATAGGAACTTCGTGAAGAATTTGAGAAAGAATCTTCAAAAACTGGAAGGACCCGTTTGCTCTTAACAATGGCAGTTCCAGCAGGTTTGGAATATGTCGACAAAGGTTATGATGTACCAAAACTAAATAAGTAAGTAAAAATTCAATACATACTTTACTCAATATCTTATTTGTAACTATTGAACAATTAAAAATATATGAATATAGTAACCTTTGATAAATCATTAAAAAAACTATTGGGGACAAGAATTAGTCGAATGCTATTTCTTATTAATTTAATAAATGCTTTGAGATTTTGCAGGAACAAGGAAGCATTAAAAATATAGAAGTCTCAAAAACTTTATCACATTTTTTGTTTATGAGATTTTGATGCAAAAATACACTTTGAAAAATTTTCAAGCTCGATCGAAATTTGTAAAATGCATGTAATGCCGGTGTAATAATTTTGGTCTATGTGTTGAAAAATATGTGCTAGTTAATAATTTGTCCCTTAAATTTTAATTATATTTTATATGCAAGGGGCAATAAATTTTTGTGTAGAAATATAATTATCTATATTTTTTCGTTTCAGATATTTGGACTGGATGAATTTATTGACATATGATTATCACTCATCATTTGAACCAGCCGTTAATCACCATGCTCCTCTATATTCTTTGGAAGAAGAATCTGAATATAATTATGATGCTGAACTCAATATTGTAAGTAGACCTAATAATATGAATATGAAAATTATTGTTAAACTAATTGACCAATAATTATTATAGTTATAAATATATCATTACTTTGTATGTTTTAAAATTATTTTTAGTTTATGATATAAAATGCCTTATTGTACCATTATTTTTTCAAGTTTCATTGTAAACTATTTGTTTTGAATTTAGTCAGTTTTCAAAAAGGCTTTCGATGTCAGAAACTTTGGAGGAAGAATTATTTTTTAACGCCCTTTTCATATTATATTGTATCAATAGATGGAACTAAAACATAGCGCAAGGGTTATGTTTTAATATTTAGCATTTAAATTGTAAATTATCCAATCCTGAAAATTTTTATTTAACACTTTATTTATATGAATCGGACAATTTGAGATCTATGAGCCAAAAACATATGCATATTTTGGAGCCGATAATAATATTTACTTTTCAATTAATATTTTGAGGAATACTTCATTTCTGTTATGGAACTAAGTAATGTGACTAAGAACTTAAGTCAAATTTAATAATTGACTATTTTGGAGATAATAAAGTTTGAATGTGACAAGATAAATAATCAAGACTGGTTTAAGTTACTGGTTCAAGTTACTAATTTCTGTACGATTTCTGTTTGAAATAATCAATATGGTTTATTTTACGTCAATATATCACGATTTACATTGACAAGTATTCAAGAAATATTATTTTTCAGCATCATACAATAAAGCACTACTTAGCAGCTGGTGCCGAAAGACATAAGTTAGTATTGGGAATACCAACTTATGGACGATCTTATACTTTGATAAACCCAGAAGCAAACGAAATTGGTGCTCCATCAGATGGTCCTGGTGAACAAGGTGATGCCACCAGGGAGAAGGGATACTTGGCCTATTACGAGGTAATTACAATTTATTACATTTGCTATATTTCTAAGATCAGTTACTAGTTATCAAATATCGTAAACTTATTTTTCTAACCAATCTACTGGACACATGATTTGCAATTAAATAGAAAATAATAAATCTTGTTTAAAATATTTCATTTGAAATATTATAATTAATTCATAATGCAATTATATAGTTTACGCATTCTTTACTCTATTAAGATTTGCGAAAGTCTAAAAAGTGACGACTCCTGGACAGTGGTTCAACCCAACCAGGACGCGATGGGTCCATACGCCTATCGTGGTGACCAATGGGTAGGTTACGATGATGAAGCAATGGTGCGTAAGAAGGCTCAATATGTTGTAGAACAAGGACTTGGTGGAATTATGTTTTGGGCAATAGACAATGATGATTTTAGAGGAACTTGCCATGGCAAACCATACCCTCTCATAGAAGCTGCTAAAGAATCATTATTAGAAGGATTGAGTGGGTAAGGCCAGAATTCTAATTATATTATATCAATCGCATAACCTGACACATTCTAATAATAGATCGAAAGAGTTTATTTTGTGTGAGTTATTTTTTATCATATTCGGTATTTTTATGCTCAGTTCATACTACACACATATAGATCTACATATTTAATTCTTTATATTATAAAGTAATAATATTTTAGTTTTTCATATATTAATCATTTACATTTATTTTTCAGTATTAAGGGTAACGATGTAGATGCTCCAGTTCGTAATCCAACTAAGAAACCATCTACAAGGAGAAGACCTCAAGTTAAAACATCTTCCAGCGTTAAATCGACAGCGGTAACAGCAAGGTAAAACCAAAACTTTGATTCAAAATCTATTTTTTCCATGACTGTATAAACTTGATTTTTTATATTATAATATTGAGTATCGACTTACATTTTTAATATTTGTAAATAATTTTGGTTTTATCAGACCAACAAATCGGCGAATCAGCTCTCGTCGTAAGACATCTACTACGACATCAACAACAGAAGAACCAGTAGTATTGTCAGACGAAAGTGGAAGTTCTTTGTATATTGGAGGAAGAACTACGACTCCAGCACCACCAACTACACCAGATCCAGGAAGCGGTAAATATGAATTGTTTTTAATATTAATATTTTTAGCTTAGATTAGAGCAATGCTTTTATTTGAAATTACTATAATTTTTTTATTCACCAGTAATTTAGTGTGGAAGTTTTTTTTACTATCCATCAATTAATTAATTTAATAATTAATAAGATTACATTTATTGAGATTTAATATACTAAGTACATTTATTTATATTCTTAATTTTACAAAATATTAATCTAGTGCAAAAAGAGTAAGTTATGTGATTTTGTTCTCAGATTTCAAATGTGAAGACGAAGGTTTCTTCCCTCACCCAAGAGATTGCAAAAAATATTTCTGGTGTTTAGACAGTGGACCATCAAATCTTGGAATTGTAGCGCATCAATTTTCTTGTCCTTCAGGTAATTTTGAAACATGCTTTAAATAATAAATAATAATACACTGGGGCCTCGCTTTACGGCCTAGATACGTTCCGCAAAACTTGGCCGTAAAGCGAAAAGCCGTATAACGAATCAATTATTCTAATACGTATTCATACAAATTCAATGGGATCGGTTCCAAATTTAATAAATATATAATATGGTTTATCAATCAAAATGCATTTTATTTTTTTATTTTGTTTAAATTATAAACATATCTTACAAGAACATAAATTTTACATAAAATAAAAAACTTCAAAAACATTACATAATTTTCAAATAAAAATGAAACAACTAAAACCTACAGATCACTGTCACCATTATTTTGCGCTGGTGGGTTGAAAAATTTGTCTTGTTTGTTTTGCCTTCTTGTCTATATCTTCCTTTAGTGATTTATAACAGTTAATGGCTGAGTTAATTCCTCGATACACATAAGCGCTACGTTCGATGTCAGGATCGTTTTCAAGGAAGATGTTTATTCCTTGTTCAAAATATGAAAAAGCGCTCGACATGATTTGCGCTGTTTGGATACAACAGGTTCTGTATCTTCATCAATTGTCGACTCTGCTTGCAACTGAATGAGTACCTCATATGAAAGGGGTTCCCTATCAGCTGCAAGTAGATCCAGCACATCAGATCCTTTTAAATCTTCAAAACCGAGATTGCGCAATATACCGACATAGAGAAAAAAAAGCCGTTATAGCGAAACATTTTAGGCCGTATATCGAAAACGTTCCTTAATTAAAGAGGGCCGTTATAGCGAAAGGCCGTATAAAGAGCGGCCGTATAACGAGGCCTGGGTGTATTAGGAATTATGCATTATTTCTTAGCAGTGAATTTTTTTTTCATTATCTGCCATCAAGCGTTTTGCTACAAATATTGGATATTTTTGAATATTTTAAAATTATTTTGCATTTCTAATAGACTTGTACTCAATCGATTATAATAACAGACTCACACCTGTATTGAGTTTTGTATTTTTGTATTTGGAAATATCTTATATCATTAACTTCCCGAAGGGCAAGTTATAGTAATCGCAAAATAATCGAAAATGAAAATTTTTATATATCTTTACGTTTCAAAGGTTTCTGAACATTTTGGCATACTTTAGAAAAAATGGATGTATGTGTGTGTGTGTGTATGTACGTGTGTGTATGTATGTGCGGATACAAATTTTCGTCGACGATTTCGGGAACACGGATCAACCGATTTGACCAATTCAAAAAACATTCGATTCGTATTGATAAGGAGACGTACTGATTAGTTTTTGGCGAAGGCAGGTCTAGCCGTTCCGACGATACGGGGCAAACTTGCCGAAAATGGTAACTCAGTTTTTAAGAGAACGGAGCGAAGATGAAGAATTGATCAAACTTTCATAAAGGCAGGTCTAGCGGTTTTGGAGATCTAATGATAAAAGTAAAAAAAATGCCATTTGGCGGTCAAAAATGATCATTAAACATATGCACATCAAATTATCAGATATTTTATAGAGATTTTAACAATAAGTATAATTTTTTTTACATTTCTATGGGTTCCGTACCAATGCTTATCCGTTAGACGGCGGCGCGGCACTTGCGTGCTTTGACATTTCGTCTCTATGCAGATAAAGCAATACGATTGCTTTGAAAAAAAGTTCAGAATTTCCAAAATATGTCAAAATGAAGAAAACATTTTTCTTTTCAAAAAAATTTCGTTTTCGAAAAAAGTAATTTTTTGTCAAAAATCAAAAATCTAATTTTTTGAAGTAATTTTTTTTTCAAAAATGTTAATCGTTTTTAAAAAAATAATAATTTTTGGTACGGGAAGTTCCAGCAATTTGCCTTAAGGCACGATGCCTTAATTGCCTTAAGACAGAATTCCTCTTACAGCTAGTTGTATCTTAATACTATTGTTCTTTTTGTCTTAGGTCTCTTGTTCAACAAAGCTGCAGATTCATGTGATTACGCCAGAAATGTACATTGTAAAACTAAGAAAGATCCTCCAGCAGAGGTTAGTAGTAGTACAACCACAACCACAACCCAAAAACCAAGCACAAAACCTCCTAGAATCTCTCGGGTCACATTAAGGACAACGGCACGCACTACGACCACTACTACCAGTGCTCCAGAATATGAGGTAATAACATAAAAATATAATATATATTTATATATTACATTTTTTAAATCATGTTATTAGGTTTTTATCATTTTGCTTGATTTTTTTATAAAACTATTAATTTTTAATCCTGATTAAATGCGAATTGGCTAGCATACTACAACACAATTTTTTGAAGGTTTTCAAACAGGTTCAATTTTCAAAATTTTCAATTCATGGTTTAACAAATAGTCATACTTCTAAAAACCTTGGTGTAATTGTGTCATAAATTTTGACTAGGGTTCTAGAATTATTATTTACGATTACGGATCCAGAGCTTAAGTGTACAAAATTACTAAAAAATGACTACAATATCTGAAAAATTGCATCTGTCTTGCCAAAGACTTAGGTTACACTTGAAAGCAAATAATTTTCAAATAACATGGTATACATTATTTTTTTAAAATAAATTTAAATTCTGATATTTTTCATGATATCTACGAACAGTAATAACACTCAGTTTTGTCTTGACGTTGATATCTACTATGTATATATTTTATCGAACTGTGAATTTATGAGCAATGAATTGATCTATGAATTACAGATTTAATGTGTTTAATTTATATTTCCATATTTTTTGAATTATAATACTTATTAGCAGTTTAATTAGTACCTATTGTAGTTGAATTCAAATTCGTACTTCCCCAATAGCTTAGTATCTATTGTAGTTGAATTCAAATTCGTACTTCCCCAATAGCTTCCAGCAGACTTAAATAGTTCTAAATAATTTGACTGCAAAATATTAAAAATATTTTATTTATTTTCTTAATATAAATATTAAAATAACATAAAATGCTATAACATTTAATATGAAGAAATAAAATTATAATACTTTCATAAAAATTAACTCAGATTGCACTTACTTAAAGTATAAATTATAATCATAATAACTCACTATTAATTAATAAAATTTTAGTGAATTAATAAAATTATTAATTAATAAATTTTAGTAAATTAATAAAATTTGTTCCTTTCCATATTTTTGGTTTAAAATACATTTTTGTTTGACTTTTTTGGTGTTTAATTTACTAACGTAATTTTGAAACAATTTTCTGTAAAATTCCAATGGATTCAAAATTATAAATTAATGTGGATATATATACAATAGTAACAATAAAAAATATGAAACCATGAACAGAAATAATTAAACTGGATATTTACTTTAAGGGTTATATTGTATATTATTTTTTTATTTTTAGGAGTACGAATATGAAGATGTGAGTGATGAAAAAGATCATACATTAGATTCAGAAGAAGATCCTAGAGTGATTAAAGAATTGATAGATCTCATTCGGAAAGTCGGTGCGTATTTAATTTTAACTTATAAAAATTATAGTTTACATAAAAACTTATTTATTGATGTTGATCATTATTTTAATAGCTCAATGAAAATATTGAATATACATCCTGAATTGACAACTGTTTGTCAACAAAGAAGTAAAATGTAGTGACAAAACTCTTCAATTTTTTAAAATAAACCCATATTTTTACTTCCCGTAGGGTAAGCGTTATAGTAAGCGCAAAAAATAGATTTTTTTTCATATGTATATCATTACGTTCCTAAGGTTTCTGAATATTTTGGCATACCTTAGAAAAAATAAATGTATGTGTGTGTATGTATGTGTATGTGTATGCATGCGTGCGTGTGTGCGGATACAAATTTTCGTCGACGAAAACACGGGTCAACCGATTGGAATAATTAAAAAAACGTTCGATACGTATTGATGAGGAGACATGCTGATTTTTAGCAAAGGCAGGTCGAACCGTTTCAGAGATACGGGGCAAAAAGTGCCAAAAATGGTAACTGATTTTTTTTAAGAACAAGTGTCAGATTTGTATGATTCAAAAACACATTTTATTTGTATTGACGAAATGAAGAACTGAATTTTTGGGAAGGCAGCTCTAGGTGTTTAGGAGATCCAATAAAATATTGTTTTGAAAAATTTAAAAAATCTCAAATATGGATTTTTCTCAGCGTTCTAAAAGAAAAATAAATGATTTTTAAAAATTTTAATTTTTGGGCAGGGAAGTTCCAGCAATTTGACTTATTGCACGATGCCATGCACCACTAGTTCAACTGAAATCTTACCAGCGCAACTTACCTTCTGATTGACAAATATATTTCTCATGACTTCGATTCACACGACACAAAACTGTGCGCGCTGTTCGATGTGCGCGCCACATATTTATAACAAATATTTTATATAAATAAAAATGTATTTATATATTCAGGTGGTATTGAAAAATTGGAAAAACAGTTAGATGGCATCGATGGTCTTCAATCCGAAAGCAGTTCTGGATCATCAACAACTCCGGCTACGATTAGCCGATCTTTGTATGAACGAGTACTCAGCAAAGCGACTCACAGAAAAGGTGCCGATGCTGCAAACAGAGGATCTGCAAATAACAAGTAAAATATTAACTAGCTGTGATATTATTTTTTAAATTTCCTGGCAATCAAATACAGTTCATAAAACTAACTGATCAATTATCTTAGGTATACGTCATTTAATAGAAAAGTTCCACAATTTTCTGGTGGCGATTCCAAGGAGGAGGAAGGTAGAAGTTCTAGCCGAGGTCGACCTCAATACGTTACAATACAACGTAATAGACCACATGGTCAAGAACCTGATGAGGATTCATCTGTGGTAAGTATTCTTAATTTATATCTACATTGATCTTTTCTTATAAGGATTCAGTTATGAAATTTGATAAATACATAATTTTTTTATAAAATGCTTAAATACGAGGTCTGTTCAAAAAGTACCCGGAATTTTCGTTTTTTCAAAAAAATATTTATTTATTCGTCTACATTAATGTGGTCCCCTTCAAAGTAGTCTCCCCCAGATATAATACACTTATGCCAGCGTTTTTTCCAATTTTCGAAGCACCCTTGATATTCACTTTTTGATATGTCCTTGAGCACTCTCGGCGATTTTCTTCAATCGAGGAAAACCGCCGTCCTTTCATGGGTCTCTTCAACTTTGGGAATAGGAAAAAGTCACACGGAGCCATATCTGGTGAATTTTTGCACTTTGCAACACTTTATTTCATTTTTTACGCAAAATTTAATACAAATTCTTTGACTTTTTCAATTCTTCCATTGTAAAAATCGCCGAGCTCAGAAAAACACGTCGAACCTTAGCGACTACCACAGACAAAGTAAACAGTGAATATAGCTGAAAATTTCATCATACTTTAGGGGCATGTATACCAACACAATAAAAAATTTGACAATCAGACACTCCAGACCCGCGAAATTTAATTATTAGTAATTCCGGGTACTTTTTGAACACACCTCGTATGTTAAGACCACGAACTCCATTATACCAATTCCACCGAAGTCGTCAAAGCAAATTTTTCAGATAATTACAAAAAAATAGGTATGATTCTCAATTGAAGTCTTTAGACCGGTATTTAAGTTTGTAAAATCTGTTCAGGATTTTTGGACAAAAGCAAATCAATGCGTGTCTATATAGTTTTATCGACTGCTTTTGAATTTTTGAAATCTATGCAAATGTTTTTGAGAAATCGTAAGTTTTTTTTTCAATTATGATTCGTAATGACTTGAAACGTCGAGAAAACATAAATTTATTCAATAGGATTTTTTGGCGTAAACACAAACTTGCCACCAAAAATATAATAAATATTCAGAATATACAACAGAAAATATTTGATTAATGTGAAAAAATGTATAAACTGACTACATCAGTAATAATTATTATAAATATTGTTCATTGGTGATAGAATTTAATGTCTCGTATAGTTGAATATTAAACAAAAATATCGCAATTTATTTTAAATTTATATTCTAAATATTATCTGTAATGATTACTTTGTTTTACTTAGAAATATTCCCAGGAAGTACTAGCCGGCGATAGCATTAGCTTTGTGGATGACTTTTCCGAAGAACATACACAAGAGCAACCTCGCAGGTCAACACAAGCACCTTCGCATGGTACTCAACAATATGTGAATATCAGGAGGGCCAGACCCACAACTGAAGAGAATGTAGTAGAAATAACCACCAGACCCAAATCAACTACGACTACTAAAGTAATTATAGAAGCTCCAACAACAACTACGGAATATGTCCCAACGATATCCAGAAGGTAAACCAAACAAATCTACTAATATGGATGGTTGTAATAATATAATGTACAAGCATTTATTGATTATCTTGCTTCGATATCACTTATATCCAATGAGGCAATTATGTTATAAATAAAAACATTAGATTCCAAAATTTAATACCTTTTGTGTAGTACCACAATAAAGGAAAATAGTTTTCAACAATTGTGATCTGTAAGCTTTTGTGTAACATTCATTTAGAAATAGAAAATAGTCTAAAAATGATTGGCATTCTAAGTTTCTATTCTAAATATAACTGTGAATTTTTGCACAGATTTGAAATATTTGGAAATGTAGATATTATATTCGTTCACTTTCAATGTAAGATTACGAAATCAATTCTCTTAATTCAGCAGACATGAATAAACAACGGCATTGCACAGTGTCATGGTTTTTTCAGATGATGGTGTCCATTTTGTAATCAATGCTATTATAATATTGTTTATTAATTTATAAAATTGCATTTTTAGGCCTGTGTATATACCATCAACAACGATTAAGTATGAACCTGTTGCAAGAGAAGATACTTTAGAAGAATTAGATATATCGCATATAGGAAATGAGAAAGATTTTGGTGATGAGTCCATCATTTCTACAACTAGTGGCAGGTATGACAAAATTTTTTAAAATTCTCATATTGCGTTAATCCTAAAAACTAACACGGTTCATTATTGTTTCTAATTTAAAAGTTTAATAAATGTTAGATAATATTTGATTTCTATAATTTTATTTCAGGTATAAAATCCGTTGAGCGTTTGCGTCCAATTCCACAAGCCTTAACAGTTTTATCAAATGATGATATACAAAGCACTGTTGCTTTAGATGCCACAACTTCTCTGCCTTCTAGTAGTCCAGAAGTTACTACCTTAGTACCTCCAAAAACTACTATAAACATCATATCCAGCGAAACTCCAGCAGCAATAGAGCAGACAACCCCATCCTTGACGACCAAGCCTGAGAATATTCCAGTTACCATTGTTACAAGACTTGGAGGTCTGACTTCAAAATCAGGCTATTCACAAGTCACATCTACCGCCAGAACAACAACGCAAGATGCTACAACACCATCAAAATCAACTCAACGGCCATATCCATTCACGAAGCGGTTGTATCAGTCACAGGTAAGTTTCAGAGATAGTAGTAATAGATTTAGAAATAATAATGTAGATAATGGTAGTGCAGAAGTAGAACAGTCTAACGTAACAGAAAATTTGCAAAACGTTGAAGGTGATACCAAAATTACTAGGGTTAGATCACGCGGGCGTTTTAGATTACGTGCAACCACAGAAAATCCAAATGATGAATCCACCTATAGCAGTACGGTTACTAGGGTAACACCAGCACGAAGATTCCGTCCCAGATTAACTACCCCTTCAGAAATTGATTATTCTGAAGAACAAACATATAAGCCAGCCGAACAAATTGAACGTAAACACAGACCACAATTTTTAACAGATTTATCTTCCTTGACGTCATTCGATTTTGGTGGTAAGCATAGTTCTTTCAACCCAAATCACCGCGGTCGTAATTTTGCCAAGCGTACGCGACCTTCCACACCAGTTCCTGATATCGAGAATGATAAAACAGATTTTACTAAAGATGAGAATAGTAGATCACGTATTGAAAGTCGTCCAAAAAGCTTTGTACGATCAACTACACCAAACTCAATTTCTAATGTGGAAGTATCTGCTAGTAACAATGGCTTCAGAAAACCAATTAAACCATTTTTCTTAGGTAAATTTAGTACCGTTAAACCTAATACAGTTGACTATGGATATGATAAAGATTCAAAATTGAGAAATGATAAATCTATTGAGGATTACAATTCGGACAGCGTAGTTTCATCCACAACGTCCCGAAATGTTGGATTCAAAGCACGACTTTACAAAAGTCAGTCGACGACAACAGAAAATACAATAACTTTGCAAAAAGATGATGAAAATGTATCTACAAAATTAGAAAATAAATTAAATTTAAGTGCTGAAGTTTCTCCCGAAGAACAAGAATCTTCTGAAAATTTTAATACCACCGAAGAAGTTTCTTCAAAATCAGTTGATGTGGAACATTCTAATCAAAATATTTCTGAGTATAATACTGATAATATAAAACTTAATACAAATGTTGATAATTCGCCTAATACTAAAGCAGCAAATGATATCAATCTTAAAACCGGTAATAGATATAAAATTATAAGAAGAATTAAACCAACTGTGGCTGCAGCAGATTCAGATGCTGGTGCATCTCTTACAGAATATGTCAGCGATGATAACAAAACTGTTATTTCTGGTTTAAATAGACGAAGATTCAGAACCAAAGCCGAATCTAATAATGATACGGCAACAAATTCTGGAGCCAGAGACTTCACATTCGACCAGAATGAGAACAACCAGCCCGAAAATAGGCTTCGGATAAAAGTACTTAAAACAAGAAATTTTGGTCGTGGTGATCGAGTTTCTACATCGATTGAAATTCCATCAGAAGATTCGGAAGCATTCATATCTAATCGGAATAGAAATCGATTAGTTTCAAATAATAATATCAATATTAATTTTAAAGAGCAAAATAATGAAGAGGAAAAATATGTCAACGCTGGACGATTTAGGCCAGGGACAGTTATAGTGGGATTTGATTACAACAAAAATGTTGAGAGGCCTCTACGATATAAATATAGACAGAATGGATCTCAGAATATTGATTCTTCAGAAAAGACAGAAAACTTGGATTCTGCAGCAGACCGTAATTCAGCTGAGTTAAAAAATAAATTTAGTAAAGGTAGACCATTTACTACTGCTCCGACTTCAGAACGTTCTGATACTGACAGTAATATACGTCTAGATTCAGTATCTACACTAAGGAGAAAACACACTCCTATAGCTAGGAACAAAAAACCTGAAAATAGTTTGAGAACAGAATCAACAACTGCTGATTTTTCAACTGATGATGAAGAAATTATAGAAAACTCTGCAAACAGCTACTACAAATCTCCTTCTGAAGAACATGACGAGCAAAATGGTATGACGCCGCCAAGCATCTCTGTAGACATTACCACACTTTCTTATGAGAGTACATTATTTGACTTATCATCACATGAAGATCATGACACATTAGAACAAACTACGACAGATGAAGTGTCAGAAAATATTGAAAATGTAACGGACAAGAATTCAGATGAAGAAAACTCAACATCACATAGTAATATCAGTCAAGTATCAGAATCTGAAGAACTTATCACTCAACTTGTTCAAGAAAATTCTTCAGACCAAAGTTTATTCGAGGATATTGAAACATCTTCAAATTATGCTACTACTGAAGACATGAATTTGGGTTTTGAACAAAATCAAGATCACATCGAAACTACTACTCAGTTTTCTACAACCGTATTATCTAACATTCGTAGAAGAGGAAGACCTACAACCGAATCATCTTCAACCACAGAAAAATTATCTACGAATCCTAATAGAATACGTAGTCGTGGTAAGACCACTTACAAAAATACTCTGACTGTTGAAAAAGATCTCACAAATAATCGCTCTTATAATACGCGACCAAGAAACTATTTGCTCAGAAATAGAAATCCGTCTTCTAGCAAAACTGATAAGAACATAACAAACGTAGAAAAAATTGAATCCGCAGAGGATGCTGAATATTCCGGTGAAGCACTTGATGAAGAATTGGAAAGTGAAGTATCCAAAGATATTGAAAACGATAGTAATAAGTCTAACGAGAATATTGCTAGTTTAGAAGAAGAACAGAGTATTGAGCTTAAGGATATTACTGAAATGGTTTCTCAGAGCGATCTACTTACAGAATCAACAATTTCTACCGAATACGATGAATCTTTATTAAATTTGGAAGTGAATACAGAATCACTTATGGACAAAAATATTACAAACGGTTTTATAGAGGAATCAGAAAAAAATGAAACCGGAGATTCCACTGATGCAAATACGAGCGAAGAACTGGCAACTGAAGACAGCTTGAATATAGGCACTCCTACAGAAATTACTAATTTAGAAGATTCCGAAAATGATGATTCCGAAATTGTAGTAACAGAAAATATTACATTGACAACCAAAATCAATAATGATAGCTTGATTAACATTGCAAGTACTGAACCTATTGACAATGGTACAAATCTAAATTCTACAGAAACAACAACTGCTATAAATTTGACAACACCTAGAGTTTTAGGATTTAGACAAAGATTTAATAATCAGAGAAAAGGAATTACGGATATTAAATCATCTGGTGCAGATAAAGATGAGGAAAAACGTAAATTACTGCCAACACTTTTCGATTTACAAGAACAAAATAAAGCAAGTTTTTCAACAAATGATGCGAAGGAATCGAACGCTTTGCGTAATAATAATTTTAGGCTTAAGTTAAGTAGAACCAATAGGCCTACTCCTGCTATATACAGAGGAGATAATAATTACTCATCAAAAATAAATAATACATTGGAAAGAACGAGAAATTCTTTACTAAGTAATGTACAGAAAACGTATTTAGGTAGTAGAAATATAAATAGACAAAAGTTTGGAATTGGTAGAAATACAATTAGCAAAAATGTAACTGAAACTATCAAAGAAGATAATAGTAGTATTTTATTAGAAGAAAAAGGTTTAGAAGAATCTGTAGATCAGACTAATTTAACAGTATCGTTAGATGGAGATATGGAGCATGATACTAATAGTGGTTTAATAATGAATTTAACATCTTTAGATAATGTGGAATTAATAGTTAACAACACTGACACCATTGGTGTTGAGCTATTAACCAATAAAACAGAAGCCGAACATAATTCCACAATTACTGATGATGATATAAATCTTACATTACAGGCACGAAAAGTACATAATCTTGATAACTCGTCATTTTCTGGGGATAACAAAGTTATAGATTCAGAAGAAAATAATTCTGATAATAGATCACAAAGAAGGAAAAAGATAATACGTAGAATTCGCCCTTCGCATAATCTAAATGTTAACGAGAAAACTGATGATATTGAGAATAACAATTTTTCAGACAATAATACAACCAGAAGACGTAAAGTCATTTTACGGCGACCCTCTTCAACAACAGAGAATTCTGCAAATAATGAAGAGTTGCCACTCACAGAAAAACCTAAATACCGAAAAATTATACGAAAATATAAACCCAAAGCGATAGAAGATGACGTTATTATCAAATTCGATGATGTAAATAATACTGACACAAGTTTAGAGAAAGAATCCGATAATGATATTATAATCCGTTTCAAAGATTCTGAAGAAGGATCTGAATTAGAACAGAATTCTAAAGTAAGTGATGATGAAACATTTAATGGAAAGTCTATACTAACCGGTTTAGACAGAGCCTCTATATACCAAATGAAGCTACATCCAGTCGTTGTTCCGGTTACCAGACGCGTCACAGACGAGGAAACGGATGATGTAGAGATTACTACAATATCAGACATTGACGAAGAAGTTGTAGAAACTACTGATAACGCAAATGAAATAGAGTCTGATACCACAGAAATGTTAGAAGAACCGACTACTTATCAATATGAGATAACAACAACGTCTTCTACCACAGAAGTTACGCCTTCAACACCGCAGTATATTAATCGTTTGCTAGCAGTAAGGAAACCTGCTTATAAACCTCCAAAACGGGTGACAACTACTGCTCAACCATCTACAACAGCAAGTCTATCTAAACAAACTCGTAATTATCAAAGAAAGTACTTCAAATATGCGGATAAACCCCAAACAATTCCTGAGGATATTAAAACAGTAAATATTGAAGAATTTCCAGGTATTGAACCAGTTACTGTCCCACCGATTAGACTCTTTACTGCTAAAGATCGAAAGTTTGGACGAACTGGATTTTCACCTAAGCCTGATGATGAGGAAGTTGATGATGAGTATTACGAGGATGAAGTATCCCAAGTAAAAAATAGGCCTTTAATTTATACTTTACTCGAACGTACCAGCACCGTACGTCCAAAAGAATTAAATATTGATGACTACGTTGATGATAGTCAAGAACCACATAACAAATTTTTCGATAATCCAATCTCTGATGATTTGTATGAAGATACATATGACGATGAGTCTGTGGAAGAATACAATGAAGAACAAAGTAAGAGCTTAGAAGAAGATGATCAACCTATATTACGTTTTCCAATATCACTAGGCAAGAAAAATGACGTGCCTCTATATACACCAAAACCAACAACATCTAGATATTACAATCGACCATCAACAAAAGAGTTTGTACATCCTGCAAGTCTAAGAACTACACCTGTACCAAAATATACCGTAGATTTGCATACAGAACCCTCTCCGTTATTGAGCCGGACAACTGAATTTATTCATCCAGCAAGTAGAGCATATACTAGGAAATATGTAATAACAACAACAACTACTGAACTTCCAGTTGATACTGGTTTGGAAGACTTGAATATTGATGCATTAAATGCTAGAAATAAAAAGATATTTGACAGCCACAAAAAACCGCTAACAGCAAAACCAATAACGACACAAGCTCCGACAATTGCCAGTTCGGAAATTAATGCAAGTCCTGAATTTATTATACGTGTTGAAAATAGTTCTTTGGACAATAATTTAATTAAATATACAAGTCAAGACCATTCACAGACAGAGAATCCTTTCCAAATAAGTATACATGAACAAACAAATACTGTATCTGAATATAATGAGTTTAATATTACAATTTCTAAGAGTTCAGCTAGTTCTCAAAATACATCTACTGAAACGTCTGATATCGAAGACTTATCAACTTATCCACACCATATTTTTGCAATTGATTCATCTACAGAAGTTCAAACTACGGATGAAGATGCAACTACGGAAAAATTGGAAAAACTTGTAGAAATCAACTTAATTTCAGAAGTTAAATCTAAAGAAGAAAAATTAAAATTAAGCAATATTACTTATGAGTCCAAGCCAGTAGTTCTAGTAAGTTCTACAGATTTGCAATCTGAACAAATGCCTAAGCTTGATAAACGTACGGAAATTAATCGCTTGACTCTCATAAAAGTGGTCAATGGTGAAACTGTAACAACAGATTTTCCAGCAACTGATACTACTTATTATGAAAACTCTTCAGAAAAAGCTCGAGCAATTGACTTCAATAAGCAAAACTATATAAGCAATCATCTGTTTGTTGAACCTTTCACATCTAGTACCGAAAGATCTACTATAACATTAGAAGGCCTCTTTAAAAACGAGGAATTAGCATATGGAAAGTCCGTTAAAGGTAAAAAATCTTCAAGTCCTATGCCTGTATATGTTCCATCAACTACGCAAGCATACACTACACCCACGTATGAAACAGTTACAAAATCTTCACAAGAACAAAGAAATATTGAATCAGTTGGATCAGTCAAGGAGGTGACACCTCCAGATAGTTCGCCTATTGTCATATCCATATTCAACTTGGATAAAGTTCTTTTACAAAAAGGACCTCCCGTAAAAATTGAAAAAGTGCAAGCTCAAGTGCGAACTTTGAGTGACCCTGAGCTAAATATTGATGTCGACAGTCATGTGACTTTGATATCACCAAGACCAATTGTTCATAAGGAAACTAGTTATAGCGAAACTCAAAGTTCTATGAGAATATTAAGGAAGCATCTTAAAAAGCATGTGGTGGATCCTGGAAAACAATTTTCTACAGTAAAGGATAATCAAGGAGTAGAAAAGGTTGCCTTTACAGTTCTGAATGACCACCAGCCTGTGGTGAGGTCTGTTGAGGTAAATGCTGGACCTTCTGTGGTGACTTCACAGAGCAAAATTGTTAAAACGGTAATAAATACTGCTAACACGTAGCTGAAATGAATTAAATTAACACTATTATTTTAGAACAAGTATTATATAAGATATGACTGGCAATTATATAAGTTTATTGGCTCTCGAGATCATTTTGTTTTAAATTTAAAGAAAATGAAAATTATTTGATATATTTTTTCTAAATTTAGTTAAGTATTTAATTCGAAATAATTTACTAGTCTTCGTGCTGGCCATATTTAACGACAAGTATTCGGTATAAAATTCAACATTTACTGAAAATATTTGGACTTATTTGCATCTAACATTATATAATCGTACTGCTATTTTATATATTCCAAAAAGCGTCGTTATAATAGATTGGGATATAATTGATTTATTGATCGAAAATCATTTAAAAGCGGAAAAACAAAGTTATTCAATTTTTTGTTATTCAAATTAAGTTAAGGATTGACTTTCGGTTATCATGTTTGGAACTGATTTGAATCGCTTTTTCGACACATACTAGTGATGAAATATCGAATATCCTAACAATTTATATTCAAGATACAGATAATTAATTTAATATATTCATACAACATAATAAGTATTGTATGCAGTATTGTTGTATTGTTTTCATATAGACGTCATTAAAACGGTATAATGCAATTGATTCTTCCTGTAGCTGTCACACCTCAACTAATTTAAAAGTTTAAAACCATTTTGTACGAAAATGTACTTTTTTATATATATCCCAGATATAAAATGATTTATTGCAGATAAAAAAATACATAGAATATTTTGTCTTGTATATACTTGTTGTTCTAATTAATTCCTTGTCTAATGCCTTTGGATCAGTTCTCTAACAAAATATTACCATACAGTCCAAAAAAAAAATGCAAAATTAAATCTGGAATTAACAAAAGATTTGGCAATTGCCACTACAATTTTCTATATTTTAGAATAAACCTTAACAGATTTTCTAGCATGTTTGTACATATAGTCAAATAAGTTACTAACATTAGTTCTAAGATTTCTATCTAATAAATATTATTTCTATAAGATATTACCTGTATGTTTTACACTTGTGTATTTCAGCTATCTCAGAAACTTGACAAGTATTTTTAAAATGTTATTATCATTAGTTTATAAGTTTCGATGTTGTTATTAGAATAAACAGATCAATTGAAATTAGAAGTTTGTTGTATATAATCATGATGCACGATCATTCCATCATCTTTATCATGTAAATTGATCGAATTGTCGAAAATGAAACATCATAATTTAAATTTTCATTAATTTGTTGATATCATAATAATCACAAATAATATAAATTATAATCAACTTTATATGCATACATTTTGCAGGTGATATATGATTATATAATATTTACATGCAAATGGTGCTACAACAATTTATAATTAATATTATGATGGAGAATAGTCAATGTATATACAGATATGTTGTTTTATCTGCCGTCTAATTTTTAATGGTTTAATTTTTCATGGTTTTGTAAGCTAATAGTATTTGAATGAGTGTGTCTGTGAATATCATTTGGAAATATTCTAAACTTAATTTTAACTAGTGGGCATTGTGCTTTAAGACAAATTGCTCGAACTTTTCTTATCTAAATGAAACATTCTTTAGTCATGAATGAAAAATTCATTCTTAATCATTTATTTATTTTTGAGAGTTATATGAACTGAATTGCAAAAAAAATTATTAAGTTTAAGTTCATAAATGAGCTTTAGAAACTATATTTTTCATGAATTTTTGAAATTTTCTGAAATTTTGAAATAAAAAGATTTTTCTTGTCTTCCCGAACAATCTAAACTAATGAAAACACTGTCAACACAAGTCAAATGCTCTTTTGATTCATTCTAATCAGATGATCCATTCTCTCAAAAACTGCTGGTATTTGCAATTTTTGCTCCGTACCTCTCAAACGGCAAGACCTGCTTTTGTGAAAAATCTAATCGGCACGTATCCTCGTCAGTACGAATCGAATGGTGTTTGAATCATTTAGTTTTCCAGTCGCTATTCTTACCCACATATGACAACTCATCTGATTCTTATTTGAAGTTTCTACATGCTCGAGGAGTCTGAAAAAAACTTTTTTCGGCTATTTTTCAGTATTTTTTAAATAAGGTATAATTCAAATCGGTTGATCCGCGCTTCCGAAATCGTGGACGAAAAATTTTATTCACACACACATATACATAGATCTATTTTGTTCAAGTTACGGCATAATGTGGATAAACCATGAGACGTAAAGATATGTAAAAATTCTCATTTTCGATTTTTGGATAATTGATATCTTATATATTGATAAACATAAAAAATCTAAAATGTTTTTTACGATAATCGTCTGTAAATTATCCTTATTAGTTTACGATAGAATGTTACAAGTGTAACATTAAGAAGTAAAGAAATAAAAAATGAGATGAATAACATTAAAAATGAAGGTACCTCCATTTATTTATTTTATAGTAATCGTTAAATTTATTGGACATGATTGGGTATTTATTGGGTAATGATATTTTTAACTTTGAGTAAAATTAATTAACGAGCTCTTTTAAAATAATGTACACTAAATATTTATGTGTGATTATCAGATAAATATCTAATATTTATCTACATAAAATATGGATATTCGATCATGAAAATTTAAAATTCAATCAAAATTTGTATAAAATAATCGAATTTTCTTCAGTACATTGGCACCAAAATAACATCCAACATTTATGATAATGCTTTCTAAATTAATAATACCTTAATAATGATACTAAAATCTATTGTTTGTATATAAGCAATATCTATCTTTGGAGTTTTACAAAAATTAGTTTCAAAAATCACGGTAAACCTTGTTGGGTCAAGATCATGTTGAATTTTTTTTTTAAATTATCTAAAATTCATTCTTATTTAGATATTTTTGTATGTTTAAAGATATACATGGAATAGAATCATTTGGATATTAGAAAATTGTTTATCTAAAATATTTGTCATTGTCATTATTGAATGACTTACTAGAAAATGCTGAATACTGATTATTAATATATACTAAGTATATTAAGATTAAATACAATTATCATATCATGTTGGAGAAAACCAATCATGGCACCACTCATGTGTTTTTTTGGACAAAAACCTTGATTCTTAATTTATATCTGTATAAAAATACAATTACAATACTTACAATTTTAAAAATTTTCATTATTATTCTATTACCAAGAATCGCATTACCGGTGATTTGTTAACAATTTGCATCTGTAAGACTTTCATCTTATCCAATATGTATTATATGCATACAATTTCCTTTCCATTTTATTGGCGCAAGAAAAACAGAAATTTCGAAACAAATATTACTTTCTTGATGCGGATACGTTTTTGTATCGTATATTATAATTTGACTATTTTATGACTCCATTAAATGAAATTTTCATTTAGCAAATATAAAAGGTGCTAATTATATGATGAACAATGATAATATGCAATTTATTATCGACAAATGAATCATTATAAAGTTATTGCTTTTTTGTTGAGATTAATAGTGTTGCTGAAGGTACATATTCATTTTATGGCTTTATCAACAATTAAATTAACAATAATCAAACTTAAATTTACATGGTTGTGAATTGATCATATAATTAAATATTCATAATTATGCCGATTTCTTATATCTGAATATTTTCTTTAGTAGTAGAACCGAAACGAAACGTATGTATCGTTGTCAAATGTATTAATTTGTAGCTGATTCAGTATAAAAATTGAGTGCAAGGTGTTTGTTGTATAAAAATTGAGTGCAAGGTTGTCAGATATTTGATAAGTAACAATGTCGTTAACCCTGAAATTCAAGTAATTTTTTTAACTTATAATAACTACTTACACAAAGTATTTTTCAATCATTACAATTCATATTAGGGAAAAGATTTACCATATATTAATAACGTAAGATTTGAATGTCTGGACAATATAAAATTTCAGAGAAATGATTAATTTCTTGGTTAAAAAGTTATGAATAATTTACCAATTAAGTCATTATTATAGTAGGGAAGCTATGGGCATGTTGTAACAGTTTTTTATAATAAATATATCTTGAGGTCCAGTGATTATATTTGTATTATATAAAAATTGATCGTTACTGTAACTATTTTTCCACCGTATCAAGTAGAAAATAGATTAGTGATGCATGGCATCGTGCCTTAAGGCAAATTGCTGGAATTTCCCGTACCATAAATTATTTTAGAAAAAAAAACTTTAAAAAAAAAAAAAACTTTATATTGAAATTGAAATATTTTGGAAATTTTGAACTTTTTTCAAAACAACACTGCTTTAACTGGATAGAGACGAAATATAGAAGCGCGTATGCGCCGCGTCGACGTCTAACGAATAAACCATGTTATGAAATACAATACAAACACAATAGAAATGTAAACAAAATTTAAGCCTATTATTAAAATCTCCATAAAATATCTGGTAATCTGATGTGTAATCATTTAACACTAGACCTGTCTTTAAAAATTTAATCAGTTTTTCATCTTGTCAATACAAGTAAAATGTTATCTGAACTATTAAAATCGGACGCTCCGTTCTCTTAAAAACTTAGCTATCGTTTTTGGCACTTTTTGTCTCGTATCTTCGAAACGGCTAGACCTGCATTTGCGAAAAACTAATCAGCACGTCTCCTTATTAATGGAAATCGATTGCTTTTTGAATAATTAAAATCGGATGAATCTTGTTCCCCAAATCGTCGACGAAAATTTGTATCCGCACACACACACACATCCATTTTTTTCAGAAATGTTCAGAAACATCTGAAACGTCAAGATATATAAAAATTTTCATTTTCGATTTTTTGGCGATTACTATAACTTACCCCACGGGAAGTTAATAAAAGTAGCATTTTGCCCTAACACAAATCGCAAAAACTTTCCGATAGGTGTAATAATTGACTTAATCAATCAAAATTGGGATTTAGATATTTAGATAAAATTTTCAATGTCGAGAAAACATATAATTAGCAAATCTGAATTCTGGACGAAAACATAAACTTCTCTTTCGGC